AAAATAGCTGGAAGCCCAATCCAATAATTAGTAGAACTTCACTCAGATACAGAATTCTGCTGCTTTCTGGCATTTTGTTGCACCTTTCCACCCAAAAGGTATAGCTGAGCCATCTACCTCTATTTCTTTTAAGATCTGGGTTGAACATTTTAGGGTTGTTTAGCTAAGGGTCAGTCACTAGGGTTGGCCTGACCAAGGCCCAAGGCTCCTGTGGAACAGTGGGCCCCATATTTTTTTCTCCAACTCTTATTCAAAAATGGAAGAAACAAGGATGATTTTTGGCTCTCCTCTTTTTAAATTTTATATTAATTATTTGGTTCACGTTTTGACTTGGGCAACTGATCTGTTTTGGTTCTGTTGTATTTTGATTATGCAACTTTTCTCTACAGCTAGAGAAAACTTCTAAAAAGTTTGCCATTTCCATTGCTCCTGAAAAGTCAGTAGTTTCTCTATTGATCAAACTAAGGCATTTCAATACCTGGGTGTCTCCTTTTAGTCTTCAGATCTTTCAGATCAACTAAGGGCTGCCTCTGCTTAGACCCATGCTGCAAATGTTATTTTGTGTTATGTCAAGTGGAACAACAGTAAATATGCACCTGCCATAATAAACGTTTTCAGAGCAAATGTAATTAGTTGTTATATGGAACACAGTCCACAATTACTAAGACATAAGACCTTGAGAAGCTATCCAGTGCAATTTTTAAGCTGAAAGTTCACAAGTAAGTCCCCAACTACAACTGAAACCTAGTCTAATTTATACCAAGTCTCAGTTGCCCCAGGTTCTGGCTCAAATTAATCTTCACTGACAAGTCTGATTCTACAAGATAACTTTATTTCAGCATGGAAGAAATGGATTATTGATCAGGACTTAAAATTTTATGGCTTATCTATTCAATCCTTGACTTTGCTTGGCCTTGAAAGTACCTGGCTGCAGCTGAAACAACAGATCTTTGATAATGATCACAGAAAGATTTGAGCTCAAACCACACCTTATATAAAGGTTTGTTTGGAACAACTTTTTCCCATGCTAGTTATTGACGTTGACTCATCAATTTAGTATTCTTTCTTCCATGTTATTGGATGGAAAATGTAACACTGCTGTGCGAGAGTGTCTATGTCTCTCTCTGGTAGGGGAAATAGAAACTGTTGCATATGTACACAGCCTGGTGGACCGTTCTGATAATGTCACCCTAACAGCCAGCCACGATAGTTTGGAAGAAGAGGACACTTTCACATATCATACTTATTCTCTTGACATTTTAATTAGAGAAATATGCAATAGTAGTTATGAATTCATTTTTTAAATTAATTTTTATTGAAGGGATTTTTTACAAAGTAAAAATGATACAAATTTAGAAAAGAAAAAAGTAAATGATAAGTTAAATAAGGAAGAAAAGAAAAAGAAAAGAAAAAGAAAAAGAAAAGAAAAAGATATAAAGAAGCAGCTTCCAATCTTTAAAGCAATTATAAATGCATTTGTATTTTATCCTCTCTCTAAAGTTATATTGTGGCTCCCTTCTTTCCATATTCTACCTTTTGTAATTGTCAAACCCATAAATCACAAGTTCATTTTTATCCTTTTTCAGCAAAAAGTCCATAAAGGGTTTCCAGTTGCTAACAAATGCAGTTATTGCCTATTCTCTAATCCAGTGTTGTCCAAACTTGGCCTCTTTAAGATGAGTGGACTTCAACTCCCAGAATTCCCCAGCCAGCCATGC